ATGGGCACATATAATAAAAGACAAAAGGTGCTAAGGTGATAAATGCTACTGGAGAAGCACAGGTGAGGTCCTGAAAAGTCCTAGAGAGGAGGGAGTTTAGTCCTAATCTATAGGATTAAAAAAAAATCATGGAGGAGGTAGCGTTCGAGCCAGCCTCTGAAGGAGAAGCAGGATTTAGGGGTGGAGAAACTGGAATGAAGGTGGGAAGGCAAAGAAGAGAGAAAGACCCTCCCACTAGTATTTATCCAAATCAAAACCACAGTGAAGTATCACCTCACATGGGTCAGAATGGCCATCACCAAAAAGGTCTAATAAATGTTGGAGAGGGTGCAGAGAAAAGGGAATGCCTCTACACTGTTGGTGGGAATGCAAATTGGTACAGCCACTGGGAAGAACAGTATGAAGGTTCCTTAAAAAACTAGAAATAGAGTTAGCATATGATCCAGCAATCCTACTCCTGGGCATATATCCAGAAAAGAGAAAAACTCTATTTCAAAAAGATATATGCACCCCAATGTTCATAGCAGCACTGTTTATAATAGCCAAGACATGGAAGCAATCCAAAAATCCATCAATTGAGGAATGGATAAAGAAGATGTGGGACAGATATACAATGGAATATTAGTCATAAAAAAGAGTGAAACAATGCCATTGCCAGCAACATGGATGGACCTAGAGATTATCATCTATGAGTGAAGTAACTCAGACAGAGAAAGACAAATATGATATCGCCTATATGCATAATCTAAAAAAATGATACAAATGAACTATTTACAAAACAGAAACAAACTCAGAGAACAAACTTGTGGTTACTGGGGTTGGGGGGAGGATAGGGGAATGAGTAGATTAGAAGTTTTTGACTGACATGTACACACTGCTATATTTAAAATGGATAACCAAAAGGACTACTGCATAGCACAGGGAACTCTACTCAATACTCTGTAATGACCTAAATGGGAAAAGAATTTGAAAAAGAATAGATACATGTATAACTTAATCTCTTTGCTGTATACCTGAAACTAACACAACACTGTTAATCAACTCTACCCCAATATAAAAAAAATTAAACAAAACAAAATAAACAAAAAAGACAAATGTGACCTGAGGACTACCTATGTTAGCATCTGAGGAGGCTGCATTTGAGCTAGGGCTTCAGGAGTAGGCAGGATTTTCACAGGTGAAATCAGAGGGAAAGGATTTTCTAGAGACAGGCAACATTCTCTCAAGTCTTACTGTACATGTTGTATAGATATAACTAAGGGAGCCATTTTGTCTCATTTTCTTCCCAGCCTTATCGTGAAAAGGCTGCTGCTCATTCACCCCAAACTGGCTTACCATATGGCTGGGATTAGATGCTCTGACCAATCAGAGACTGACAGTGGTTACTCTTCTATTGGTTTACTAAGGTTTCAAACTTTTAAGATACTCAATTTAAGTGCGCCAAATTCAGATGTAAAACCACCATTTCAGGCCACCCCCAGTCATCCACATTGTTGTAGGGATGGTTTCTCAAAGCAAAAGTCTATTGACCACCTGCATCAGAATGGATGATGAGGCCAGTTTAAAAGCACATCCCAGGGCTCCTCCCCAAGGCCACTGAAACAGAATCTCTGTGATTGTGGTCCAGGGAGGTGAATTTCAACAATTTCTCTGGTAATTCTAAGCACATTAAAGTTCGAAAGATATTGAGCGGCTGAGGAGAGAGCAAAGGCACAAAAATGAGAGAACAGAAGAACAATGTGGGAAGAACCCGAGGTACAAGAATGCAAGCATGTGGACCTATAAAGGTAACTCAGAAGACCTTCACTGTCAGAGTCAGGGGTGGACACATTCTGCAGGCACCAGGGAGCCATTCCTTTCAGTGGCAGAGTGGGGTGGTTAGGAGCCTAGAGTCCGGAGCCAGACTTCCACGATTCAGATCTTAGCTCTTTGACTCACTAGCTACATAACCTTGAACAAGGATCTTAACTCTTTCTGCCTCAGTTTCATCATCTGTAAAATGAGGTTAATAATCATACCCCCCTCCATGGGGCTGTCATGAGATTAAATGAGTTCATATCTGTAAAGTGCATAGAACTGTGACTGGCATAGAGTAAGTACAATGTGTGTCAGCATAAAGACTTCTGAGTAGGGATGTAGCATAGTTAAGGCTATCTCTTCGGAAGATTAAGCTGGCAGTAATGTATGGAAAGGCTTCCCTGATAGCTCAGCTGGTAAAGAATCCTCCTGCAATGCAGGAGACCCTGGTTCAATTCCTGGGTGGGGACGATCCACTGGAGAAGGGATAGGCTACCCACTCCAGTATTCTTGGGCTACCCTGGTGGCTCAGCTGGTAAAGAATCCACCTGCAATACAGGAGACCCTGGTCAATTCCTGGTTTGGGAAGATCCCACAGAGAAGGGAAAGGCTACTCCCTCCAGTATTCTGGCCTGGAGAATTCCATGGACTGTATGGGGTTGCAAAGAGTCAGACATGACTGAGTGACTTTCACTTTCAACATATGGGAGTCAACCACCCATTTGCTACCAGCAAATCCTATCATATTTTCCCTCTATTTCAGTGGCTGTCAACCTTGGCTGCACATTGGAATCACCTCCTTCACCCCTCTTTCCCCTTACCAAGGTATGGTATTCCAATATGCACCTGCAGCCAAGAACCAGTGTTCTAAATATACAGTCACCCCTTGGTATCTTCAGGGCATTGGTTCCAAAGGACCCTTGCAGATACCAAAATGCAAGGATGCTCAAGTCCCTTATATAAAGTGGCATAGTATTTGCATATAGCCTACACACACTCCCATACACTTTAAATCATCTCTAGATTACTTCTAATACCTAAGTATTAGAAGTTGGGACTACAATGTAAATGCCATGTAAATGGTTGGCAGCACACGGCAAATTCAAGTTTTACTTTTTGGAACTTTCTGGACTTATTTTTTTCTCCAGTATGTTCAGACCATGGTTAGTTAAATCTGAGGATCCAGCACTTGCTGTATTTCAAATTTGTTCAGTATTTGTTATTGAGTCCTCACTTTATGGAAGACAGTGTCGTAGGTCCTTTTCCTGCATTATCTCATTTAAACTTAACAACAGTATGGAGGTTGGTGCTAACATAATCCTCACTGTAAAGACTGCTAGAAAGGTGAGTACATACATGGCTCATGATCACCCAGCTTGAAAGTAGCAGGACTGGGATTAGAATCAAGGTAGCCTGGCTCCAGAAGACCCTAGTCTGAACCACTACTCTATACTATCTCCCCCGCCCTGAATCTTGGCCTGTCATACCAGAGAGACTGCTACATCCATCCTCTTGGTCTCTCTACTTGTCTTCTTTCCTTCCTCCAATCTAGTCTGGACACAAGAACCAGTGAGATCTTTTAAGACATCAACTGGATCACATCACGTCTCCTGCACAACTTTCCAGTGGTTTCCCAATGCACTTCAAAACGGAAATCCAAACTTGTTACCATGACCTTGAAGGTCCTGCATCATCTGACTCCTGTTCACCTCTTCAGTCTCACCAAATGTCAGTTATGATCACAATCACTACACTCCTACCACACTGGTCCCAAGCTCGTTAAATGCTCTAAGCTCTTCCTTGCCTGGTCCTTTGAACTTTCTTTTCTTTCTGCTTGGTATGCTCTTCCCAGGACCTTTGCATGGATGACTCCTTTTCATCTTTCAAGTCTGAGCTTAAATGTCATCTCAGAGAAGCCTTTCCAACAACTCAGCTAAATGCCTTCACCTCTTATTTTCTATCTCAATCCCTTGTTTATTTACTTTACAGTACATAATTATTTATATTTAGATATTTGTTTGCTTGTTTGTTTATTGTATTCTCTGGTAAAATGTGGGTTCCACAAGGGCAAAGAACATACCTTGGCTGCTATGTATGCCACATATGATTATATAGGTTGTGTCCTGCATAAGGGTGCCTCAGCTAAGGAGGTATATTCACAAGGATTTTCTGGCAAATGGCGATCCTTTCTATAATTCACATGAAGATGCCATACAGTCTAGCAGCACCCTGTATGTCTACTATGTTTACCATTATGTATCCAGCTTCTAACACAGTGCCGAGCATACAGTAGATGTTCAATGAGCATGTTAACTGGATGGAAGGGAAGAAGACAAAATTAGGGAAAGTGGGAAAAGAGGGGATATAAAGGACTGCTGATAGACTTGGTGATCTGAGAAGAGGCAATAAAGGAGAAGTTAAAGGTAATGCTGTTTGATCTTGGAAACCTAAAGAATAAAAAGAGTACCGTCATCAAAGAAATGAAACTCAAAGAAGAAAAAACTGACTTTGAGAACATGACAATTCGATTTTGAATATAATTTGGGAAGATGATGCATTCCGTTTTGCTGCTATTGAGTCTGTCAGCATTTTACTGTGGGATTTTAAAAATACCCCTACCTTTGCCCAGCATAATCTTCAAAATGGTCACATCAGTGCTTTGGGAGGCCAAGTCTCCATATTAAGGCTGTGTATGATCAAGGGTGAAACAGATCACCAGCCCAGGTTGGATGCATGGGACAAATACTCAGGGCTGGTGCACTGGGAAGACCCAGAGGGATGGGATGGGGAGGGAGGCGGGAGGGGGGATCAGGATGGGGAACACATGTAAATCCGTGGCTGATTCATATCAATGTATGGCAAAAACCACTACAATATTGTAAAGTAATTAGCCTCCAACTAATAAAAATAAATGGAAAAAAAGGCTGTGTATGGAAAAGCCCTATGTTTTACAATACATAATGGAAGGGCCAAGCTAGATGAATCTCATCCCTCTCCCCTTGCTGTGCCACAGTGCAGTTTCTTTCAGGTAGTGACACTTAAAAGCAATGCTTTTTTTTCCTTTTGTGATTGAAAGCACCCTTAATATTTAAGGCTAGCATAGAAAATTCCCTTTTGCTAGAACACTGGACAGGTATTTCCCTCTTCTAAATCCTGCTACTCAGGATAGTAGCACCTGGGGTCTTGGGATACAGGATACCTACCTCTGCACACCCGGCAGCAGGAATCTGGAACAGAGACTGGGAAAGCACAGGTTAACTTGGGGCAAGTCTTGAGACCACAGTACACATTGCCCTCCTGCTGGGGAGAAACGGAATTAAGGTCAGAAGGAGCTGAAGTACATGTAAAGGCTTTAGCTCAGTACCTGGGATGAGTAGGGGTTCAAACATAATACATCCCTTCCCCTGCTCTTCATCAGTCAGTCCCAGGCACTTCCTAAATTTTATGATGCGCTTATTTTTTTTCCCATTTATTATTTCTCCATGCCAGAGACTAGGTCACAGAAGAGATGGCAATCCTCATCAGGCACCCTGTTCTAAGATAGAACAAAGTATCAGGTTCTATCTATTACATTCTCTGGACCGCACAATTAGACGGTGATGTAATCAGTATATCTTATTCATGAAGTATACAATTCTTTGGACAAGTAATGTCACCAGAATCATTACAATCAAGCATTTTTCAAGAGATTTTTCTTTGCAGGGCAAAGAACTATCTCGTTAATAGAATATTTCAGAGATGGGAACCAAGAGACACCCCATTTTCCTGTGAATTGGACTGATACTGCTAGATGGTGCCAGTGGCTTTTCCACCCATAGCATTTCCAAGGCATCAAATAACTGAGTTCCTCAGATGAAGACTCTTGTGGTATAATGACTGTGAATAGAAGTACAGATCAAGATCATCAGCTCATCTTTGTCCTAAAGATTTAAGACAAGGATATGGCTGGGTCCAACCTTTTCAACAGAGATGATCAGGGTTGATGAAGATCAGGGAGGCTTACAATTTAGATGCAATTCACCATCTTTCAATCAAGTACCCTACAATGTAGGCTCAAACTCAAAGGTATGCATATGGATATGCATATGGAAGAGCTCTTATGTGGGTGAACGTGAACGTGAAGTCGCTCAGTCATGTCCGACTCTTTGCGACCCCGTGGACTGGTAGCCTACCAGGCTCCTCCGTCCATGGGATTCTCCAAGCAAGAATACTGGAGTGGGTTGCCATTTCCTTCTCCAGAGGATCTTCCTGACCCAGGGATCGAACCAAGGTCTCCCGCATTGCAGGCAGACGCTTTAACCTCTGAGCCACCAGGCAAGTCCTGATGTGGGTAGAGGACATTAAAATACAGGGTCTTACCGAGCAGCTGCACTGGGTGCACTGGTTGGGTTGCCGGTTCTGAAAGAGCCCTTCAGCCATGAACAGTTCACCATGTTGGTAAGTGGTCCCATTGTATTCACACGACTTGCTGGTCACTTTATTGTTCGCTGGGGGTAAGGAGTCTTCTGGGACAGGGTGGAAAAAAACCACACCAAGTATTGGCATCATTGCAAAGAATTTCACAAATCCCCAGACAAACAGCAGGTGGGGCTGTACCACATAGAAGGAGTTAAAAATAGTCCCTGATTCAGGGGCTGATGACTTCGATAATATTAAAGCAGCCAGACAGGAATAACAACTAACATGACCAACCATCCAACCCTTCACTTGTTGGGCATCTATTGAGCACCTACTATGTACCAGGCACTGTGATAGGCACTAGGCAGAGATTAGTGAAGAAAAACAAGGCTCCTGCCATGATGCAGCTACCAGTCTTAGACGAAGAAGAAATTAACTTGTCTCAAGGAAGGGAGTCTTTTCAGATGAGGAACCACCTATTATAACTACCCTGGTAACTTTACCATCTCCCATGTTTTATTACACTTGGCATGTGCTTGTTCCAGCCTTTGGAGTCTGCTTGTTTTCAATCCCTCCACCAAGATGGCCCCCTTCCTCCTCCTCTTTTCTATCTACTGAAGTCCTATCTGATTTTGAAGGACCAGCACAAGTTCTCTTTTCTTGAACAAGTGCCCAGATTAAACTAATCATCAGTGTACAGATTAACAATAGATACAAGCAGAGCTTGGAAAGTACTTGCTGTGGCATAGTGGGGGAAGAGAAATAAGGAGAATTGTGTGTTTCATGATGAGGAAGCTTAGAGAGTTAGACCATTCTGGGATCCTCCTACACTGTTGGTGAGAATGTAAATTGGTATACCCACTATGGAGAACAGTATGGAGGTTCCTTAAAAACTAAAAATAGAGTTGCCATATGATCCAGCAATCCCACTCCTGGGCATATATCCAGAGAAAACTATAATTCAAAAAGAACATTGTACTCCAATATTCATAGCAGCACTATTTACAATAGCCAAGACATGCAGGTAACATAAATGTCCATCAACATAAATAAGATAAATAAGATGTGGTACTGAGCAAGCCAAAAAGTTCATTTGGTTTAAAGTAAAAATAAAAGACATTTTTCATTTTTACTAAGAACTTCATTGAACAAAGTATTCACTAACCTAAAGAACTTTTTGGCCAACACAACATGCAATGGAATACTATTCATCCATAATAAAAGAATGAAATATTGCCATTTGCAGCAACATGTGTGGGCCTAGAGATTATACTAAGTGAAGTAAGTCAAGAAGAGAAAAGCAAATACTGTATGCTATCACTTATATGTGAAATCTAAAAATAATATATATGAATTTATATACAAAACAGAAACAGACTCACAGACATAGAAAATGAACTTACAGCTACCAAAGAGAAAAGGGAGAGGCAGAAAGGGATAAATTAGGAGTATGGGATTAATACACCAACTAATATACATAAAGTAAATAAGCAACAAAGATTTACTATATAATACAAGGAACTGTGTTCAATGTCTTATAATAACCTATAGTGGAAAATAACCTGAAAAATATATGCATAACTGAATCAATCTTCTGTATACCTGAAAAAAACACAATACGGTAAATTATAATTCAATAAAAATGTTTTTTAAAGAGACCATCCTTTCTTTCCCATGACTCAAAACTATAATGAAAATGAAAATGGGGGGTGGTAAATGATACCTCAATATAACTTAAAAAAAATAAAATTGTTCTCAGAATGTAGTTAAAAATTACAAAGACTAATAATAATATCATCATCATAAAATAAGAGTTAACATTTATCAAGCCCCAAATAATATGCTAGGCTTTATACCATTGGTTATTACTAAGAACATTCTGATGTAGATATTAAAGTATGCTCATTTTGCTGATGAGGAAACTAAGGCTTAAGAAATGAATTGACTCCCAGGGTCACACAACTTGTTAATGGTAGCACCAGGATCTGACTGATTCAGGAGTCTTACCTCCTAGGGTGCCAAATCACTTCAAACCTGTCACAAGGAAAGGACCATTTAATTTAAAACTCAAACCACAGAACATGAAAGCTGTGTTGTCTCTGTAGAATGTATGGCCTCAAATACCCAGAAAACATCACACTTTCTTTGGCTTCAGTGATTAGAGTAACTAACTCAATTCTATACTTTGCTACATAAGTTGATCTAACTTCAATTTCTGAGTAAATCTCACCTTTGGTGTTAAGTACTTCCTAAAGATCCCTTACAGGATACAAAGAAAGTTCCTTCATTTTGTTTTAAAAGAAAAAGTTTTAAATCTGAGCGAGAGTTTAACCTTTTGGCCTGGGCTGACTCCTTGTTCCTGCCCAAAGTACACACACAACCAGATAGCTGCAGCTGGCATACATGAGTGAAACCCAATGGAGAGAGTACAGGAGCAGGGCATTTGCCCCCTGGGCCCTAATAATACCAAATCTCTGTATTTTGTGGTGAAGGAAAACGAGGGTGACCTATAAAATAATATTTGCCATGACTTACAGAAGCTGGCGAGTATTTGGAATACTGAAAGAAAAAAAAAGTTTGGGATATTTTTTGCCTCAAAAGAATGTGGGCTGAGTTTTGAACCGTGTCTTCCACCACGGGATCAATGAGGAGGCAACTGTAGGGTGAGGTTTTCCAGCGAGCCTTGACCTTGAGAGTCTTTCTTGTAACAGTCTTCAGAGAAATCCCGCATGGAGTCTATTAATCTACTCAACAGGAGATGGGGAGAAAGCAAAAATGAGGAAGACAAAATAGAATCAAAGGAAAAGAAACTAATTGTGGTGATGCTTAATGCTAGTTTTACACAATAAATTTATCTTAACATCTTCTCATTTATTATGATTTCATTCTTCTAATATCCCTAATAGAATGGGGGAGTGAGAATTATGAAAATGACACTACTGATACCTCAAAAGATTTGGTCCATGTCACACTGCTATTAACAGAAGAGTCAACAAGGAAATATAGTTTTCCTGCCTTGAATTTGTGCTCTTTTCACACCATGTGTATTAAAACTTGGGAACAGAAAGGAAATGAAATCAGTCCCTGGAAGAGATATCTGCACTTTCATGTTTATTGCAGCATTATTCATAATAGCCAAGATAGGGAGACAGCCTAAGTGGTGTCCATCCTATATCCCATATCCTTGGATGAACAGGTAAAGAAATTGTAGTGCATATATATGTCTGTGTGTGCTAAGTCACTTCAGTCATGTCAACTCTGTGCAACCCTATGGACTGTAGCTCACCAAGCTCTTCTGTCCATGGGATTCTCCAGGAAAGAATACTGGAGTGCGTTGCCATTTCCTATATACATATATTAATTTCCTATATATATACATTTATATGTGTGTATATATATATATATACACACCCTGTATATATACACATACACATATATACATTTCTTATATATGTATGTATACACATTTCCTATACATGTATATAGATATACATACACACATAATGGAATATTATTCAGCCTTAAAAAGGAGATCCTGCCATTTACAACAACATGGTTGAACCTGGAGGGCATCCAACTAAGTAAGCCAGTTACAGAAAGAAAAAAATGACATAATCTCACTTATACGTGAAATCTTAGAAATAAATAGAAGCAGAGATTAGAATGGTGGTTACCAGGGGCAGGGAGGTGTGAGAAATGGGGAGATACTGGTCACAGGATACAAAATTGCAGGTATGTAGGATAAGTAAGTCCAGACATCTAAAGTACAGCATGATGGATATAATTAATAATACTGTATTGTATACTGGAAATTTGCTAAGAAAGTAGATTTCAGAGGCTCTCACCACAAAATAAATGAGATGATGTTAATTAGCTTAACTGTGCTAACCATTTCAACATGTCTATCAGATCAGCATGCTGTAACCTTAAAATACATTTGATTTTTACTAAAGAAACTTTTTAAAATCTAGGGGGTGGCAGGATCACTGAGTCATAATCCCAGCTTGGGCACCCACTTCCCATAACCTTGCACAAGTCACTTTACCTCTTTGGGCCTAAGCTTTTCTATCTAAGAATATGGAATTCAAATCTCTCCTGGCATCTCTGAAGGCCAACACAGCATGCAAGGAACCGCAGAGGCAAGGACAACCACCTTGGAATGTACATTCTACCTTTCTAGATTTTCCAAGGTGGTTGGGCTTCTACCCAGCTATCCTTAGAATGCATTCTGTGTTCCTGGCCAAAAACTGACAGAAAACTAGTCTGAAACAAGACTGGCTTCAGGGTCCCTCAGGGGCATGCTCCAACAGAAGTGACCAGGATCCATGGCTTCTAGCCTCTCATTTCCAGTTAAACTGCACACAGCACTCTGGGAGGAGTGGAAGAAGGATACTGCTTTCCATGGGATTCTCCAGTCAAGAACAATGGATTGGGTTGCCATGCCCTCATCCAGAGGATCTTCCTGACTCAGGAATCGAACTTGCATCTCTTATGTCTCCTGAATTGGCAGACAGGTTGTTTACCACTAGTGCCACCTGGGAAGCCCTGTCTATTGGCAATCAGCTATTATAACCCCAAAACTTCTCTGAGAGGATACACATTGTCAGTAATATCTTAGTGTGAATAACCTGGTGACAGGCTTTTTTTTCCCCCTTCAGAGTGACTGGTAATTTTTACTAAGAAGTCTTTGGTCCTTTCCCATGTCCTCTGGTACACCATTCTCTCCCCTCCTGGCACTGCCCCTTTTCCTATCCTCTGAAACCCAAAGTCTTCATGCTGGTGGCTCTCTTCTCCACTCTCCACATTCTCAAATTTCTACTTCCTTAGCAGGCCAGTTCTTAGCTAGTCAGAAGGGCCTCTTGTGGGTCAGGAGATAAATCAGCTCTCAGTGTTTATGAAATAAATGCAAACCTCTCCAGAGCTCCCAGCCATGATCGCTAATCTCCTCGACTCTGAGCCCTCCCTGTTTTTGCCATTGCTATTGTTACTCTGGTTCCTATTTTATTTTTTATGGCTGATCCTGAAGACAGTGTTTCCAGTTTGGTTCTGTCTCATTCTAGTTGTGTAGTTCCAGCACATGCACAGGCCATTTTGGAGGTGGTGGTGG